TGAAGAGATATGTGTTTCCGCGGGTATCTCGCAGGCCCTAAGAGAAAAAGCTCGCTGCAAAAACTCAGCGCTTCAAAAAACCCGCAATCCTACTCAAATGGATAATTAAACAAGATATCTTGGCTCGCTCCGCGTCGCTTTGGCAATCAAAGTATGAGGGAGAAAATTTGGGATCGATTGGTGTTCGTCCCGTGTTAATCGGACGTCTAGAAGCTTAGATATTCACGAAAAACTTGTTGAACTTGCAAAAGTACTTGGTACTTGCTTGGTACTTGCCAAAGTACTCGGTACTTGCCAAAGTACTTGGTACTTGCTTGGTATTTGCATAAGTACTCGGTATTTGCCAAAGTACTTGGTACTTGCTTGGTATTTGCATAAGTACTTGGTACTTGCTTGGTACTTGTAAAAGTACTTGGTACTTGCTTGGTACTTGCGAAAGTACTTGGTACTTGCACTCGCCCCCCCCCCGTTCCCCCGACTCTACTCCCACACCTACCCCCTCGGGATAATTCCGGGTTCGTCGGGTAGGAAAACTTGCCACTCTACTCCCCCCCCCCCCCCCCACAGAGCCATTTGGTATCGATCGGTGTTTATCCCGTGTCAATCGGTCGTCAATAAGCCGAGATATGCACGGCGAATTATTTCAATCGGCGTCGATCAGAATCTTCAGAACGGAGGGACCCACACTCATTTCTGGCCGTATCTCACTTTTCCGAGATGTACGTCAAACTACGTATTTAAAACTACATATTCTAAGGCCGAATCTTCAAACTGGGGGTACCTCAGACCGTGGGAACGACTCGGCTCAGCACTGCCGCACGCGCATTCAGCGGCGGCTTGTCGATTTTTCGAGTGTCGGCTGCCGATCTCCCGAGAGCCGGCCACCTGTCAGCCGCCGCTCGGCTCTGTGTTAAGCATATGGGGACGGCGAATTTCTCCCGGAGGGAAGCACCTCGCTCACAAAAGCACGTGAATCAGCCGCATTCCTGTGTGGCGCGCAATGCTGAAGAGATATGTGTTTCCGCGGGTATCTCGCAGGCCCTAACAGGAAAAGCTCGCTGCAAAAACTGAGCGTTTCAAATAACGCCAAATCCTAGTCAAATGGATATTTAAACGAGTAACAGTGGCTGATGCCGATAATAGTTGCAAAATGTACCTACGTAATGCGCATCATGCAATGCGCATGATGAGCCATGAGGTTTTATGATACCGTGATTCTAGTTACCTCTTTCGAAACGATTACCTTTTTCCGTCATGGTTTGGATAGTCTCGGACTGTTTTTGTCGCCAACCATTTTTTTCTTGGTAAATGCTATTTTCAGTCTCGTCGATCAGTGACAGAGCTCATGGTCGAGTTTGGGAGAGCAGGCGCATCCCACCTGACCGCCCCCCCCCCCCCGTACCCCTCCGTATTAGTGGATGCGGGGACACGTTCCATCTGCCTGTCTGGGGTTGCAACTCTAGGTTGCATTGCAGCCGCTCGTATCGTTCGGACATGCCCCATGTACCAGGCATGCGAGTGCAAACTGCTACAAGACACGCCACTTACCCTGTTCCGGTGGAAGGCATTCGGTTCTAACTAGTTTGCATTTCGTGCTTGCAGTGTCGTAACTGACAGGCATATGATGTGACCAGATGCTCTGCAAATCAACAAAAGTAGGACTCGGGAATAGCAAATACTGGCATGAATATCGCCGCGTTCATACGGTTTTGCGTCGTTCATTAATTCAAATGTGGCATGAGCCATGCCCATGGTATGGTATCGGTATGGTAACAATCACACGAGAGTCTAGACTGCTCACTACTCATCCCTTAGCTTTCATGCGCTCAGTTTAAGCTGGACGTCGGGCCATAAGTTCCAGTCTCAAGCCGACAGTGCTGAACCATCAGGTGATGTATGCGTAGCCGTGCGTAGTCCCTCTTTATACGGAGCTGGATCGTGCGTGTAGTCCGCCCCGTCGGCAGCAGGCGGACGGTGCCAGACTGCTATCGGACAGGGCGGGTCACGCAGATGGAAATTGAATCTAATTGAAACAGGGCGGTTATGCACTATGCATTATGCAACCAACTGGTGCACCGAAGTCGTGCGCTGCGTACGTGTGCCGTTCTTCTCACATGACGATTGACGTCTGACTGTTTTCTGGTGAATGGCTCTTATCTAATGGTATGCTGTCCGCACGCGGTTACCTGCTGTTTTAGACACTTCAGTGTCTGTTTGATCCTCGCTACCATGTGCGACTGCCAGAGTCGAGAGTCGCCCCTCTCCCACTTGGCTTGGAGATGACCAGACTCGGCGTTTCTATAGCTCGGCGTGGGTTCAGTGACCGGTGACGGCATGAGATATTCGTCCAGTCTGGTTTAATCTATTTGATTGTGTCCTTCTGGTTAGGTCAGGCAAACGGGAGTGGGGAGCATACCCGAGGGCTTGCGACATACAAGCTCAGCCCCTACTGATTGCATTGTGCTCTAAGCTGGTAGACACGATATATGGAGGGGAGGCACTGTGTCCTGGGCTATCATGCACCTGTGGACGCCGGACGGCATCTGTTGTATTGTGCACCACTTACAATGCATGGGACACGTCGCACGTCGTGGCTCTAGCTAGCAGCTGTGACTGAGCGGCACGGCGCCAGATAAGTGTCTCGAGTCGTATGGGTGGCGCCGGCCCGGCTAGCAACACAGGAGGTGCGCCGGGACGGAGCGGCGTTTGGCGAGTGTGTGAGGCTGAATCCGAACACCTGCCAGTGTTTGAACGTGGCACACACAGCCGCGGGCGAGAGGCACAGCCAGACCCAAGTGTCTGGCGATCGCGAGAGGAACGTTGGACAGGACCCAGTGGACAGAACGGCGCTAACATGACCCTGGATTCAAAAGTAGCGCTTAGCTGAGGCTCATACCTTGTGACTCTGGAAAGACGTACCGACTACGGTTTAAGCATCTAAATGCTGCTCCCGTTGATGCAACACTCTGGTGCGACCAGTTTTTGCCGGCCAGTTTACGCGCGTCAAAGCAGCCGCTCTGTTTACCCAGACCCTGACGTATCAGTGGAGATGTTGACTGTGATTGAGGGGAGCAGCTGGTTGCACCTCCGTCTGTGCCTTATGTGCAGTGAAGAACTCTGCAAAGAACCGAACCGCTGACAATTATGCAGCGTTTTGCATGGGATGGATAAGGATATTGAGTGACGCCTCCGTTTTGCTTTTAGCGTTGCCGGGCGCATTCTGAACAGATGCGCTAATGATGTGCCGTTATTTGGTGTCCTGGAGTGTTTCAAAGTCCTTGCTGTCTAGACTGCAGAGTCGTTGAGCATTTCTTGGCCCGTTGGCCGTGCTGATACGGTCGATGGCTGTTTTCTACTCGACCCTGTTATTAGTTTACAGCATACCAGCGTAATTGAACCATTTTTGTGATGCTGGTATGGTGGCCCGAAAATTTGCAGTGGATCTTGCCTGGATTCAGGTTAGTCACACTTTTTGTGGCTCAAAGGGTGTTTGAACGACCTTCATTGGAGGAAATGGCTGTTGAGGTTTGTTGCGACCCTTCGTTTTTATATCGTCACTTTTAGTAAATGTCTGCAGGCAACTGGCAACCTTTCAAAAGTGCTCTCTTCCTTTAAGCTCGGCTTCAGTCTGTTATTTAGAACCCGACTCCTTTATGTGTATTTACTCACAAACAAGTCTACCGGCCTATACACTGAGACTGTCGATGAAGACTCGTATTTTTCGGTGTGTCTTCTGGCTGAATCCCCACCGTCCCTTCCCCGCTTATTACCAACCACGACCCTCGAATATGACAGGCGCAATCAATTCTTATGCAATTTGGAACACTGCTCTGGTTGACCTAACTGACTATCCTGCGATTGAACAGAGCAGCTATGGTGCTGTCAGTTCAATATCGTGATGTGGCTAGTTGTTTCTCTGTGTCTGCTCCCTGCATGACACCAATTCGAGGCTGCAACAGACAAAGCAGTGGCTGTTGCTGCCTGCTGGCAAACAATGGAGGATTTGTGCTCCAGAGAGTGAACTGATCTGATTTGACAGAGTTCAGATAGAAAGGCTTGACTGTGAGGATGATTGTGGTTTGATACACCCCGTTGTGGAACAGTAAAGTGTCTGTATTTATAACATACGAGTGTAATATTGCTTGGTATCCCTTTGATGTCACGATTATATCACATGTCCAACACCAGCACTGCTTCTCTGCTGAGTCAGTCCCAGTTGCCATGTGACCTATCTGTTTGTGTACCTACCGGTCGCTCTGAGTCGCCGCCCCGTCCCATCACTGGGCTGTCACTGTGCCGGTGATCGTTTACCCTCTGTATGCATCTGCCGGTCGCCCGAGTCGATTGAAAACACGCTATCACAGGCTGCAGCCGGCGGTGCCTCTGTACTGATTCCGACCCCTGTCGTTTGCCGTGCCTCGGGTGGTACACTCGGGGGCACTCGGGGGCAGATTGATGTTCCACCACTCCCTACCCATCGGGCGATCCCATGGCTCAGCACTGGCTGCTGCCAGTGTTGCCTGCTCTCAGCACTGCTCAGCACTGCCTGCCAGTGCCAGTGCTGCCAGTGCTGTCACTGGCAGCAGCCAGTGCTGAGCCATGGGAGCCCGATAGGTAGGGAGTGGTGGAACATCAAACTGCCCCCGAGTGTACCCGGCAGTGTTGACCAGTCATTTCCCACAACTGCAGTTGGGCGGAGGCATTCCGATATCATGTCAGGGCTGCTCCCCAGCCCCGTTTCAAGTGGAGGGCGCTACTTCATTTTCGATCATTGCTGTTTGTCGATGCCTGAAAGCAGAGTGTGCAATGTTGCAAGTGGTTGATTACCGTAATCTTTACAATGTAGTGAATTGACGTGAGTTTTAAACAATGCAAAAAATAATCTTTGTACATTGCAGGAGCGTATTCTCGCACCACCCTGGACTTTTACTCTGCACTACAGCCCCACAGCCTCCCCAAACCAGGATTTATCGCTCACTTACGTGCTCGTCTTCCGGCAGATTCGGAAGACGGTGCCGCTCGTGGAGGCGGCCACCATGTCTGTCAACCCGTGCACCGCCTTCCGCATGCTCAACGACTTCGTGACGCTAGATGACAACGACGTGGTGATTCAGAACGGAGCCAACAGCGCCGTCGGCCAGGCCGTCATTCAGGTGAGGCTCAGATTGGAGTGTGTTTTACCTGGGAATGGCCGTGAAAATGTGTTGAACATGACCTTTGGGATGCCTCAGGATAATGCCCACACACGGTCACAGCGTGTGCCAAGGGCCCGGCTCGAGTATGCGTGGCGGCGTTGGCCAGACCGCATGATTTATACACACTTTCAAATCCACTAACTCAACCCGACTTTCTCTGGTAAATTATGCTCCCGAGTCGGTGCTGGAGAGTGGTTTTCACGCTGCGTTTGCGTTGCAGAGACTAGCCTCAACGTGGCAGTGGACGACTCGTTGGACGTGGACGCTTGTTCATTGAGTCAATGCTGTGATTGCATGAGCTCTGACGGCCAAAGCAGGCCGGGAAATCCCAAACATTCATCATCATCTCAATTGATGTAACACTCCCTCACGCATATCTCGTCATCCTCTCTCGATGGAGCCGCTTACACATGTCTGCGGCCGGCTCGTGCTACCACCTATCCAGGCATGAGTTAACCCGCGCCCGGCTGGGGGTCCTGGATTTCCACGCCCTGCTGGGGGGGGGGGGGTGTTTGAACACCCCCCCCCCTTCTAACTCGGCTCCTGGGCCACGTAGCGATACGCGGAAGGCGGCGTTCGAAAGAGCGCCAAAAATAATGACGAAATCACTTCAGTCACTTTTTTGGTCAGTTCAAAGGTCAGGTCACCAGAGGTCATTGAAGGCAAAATTTCGCCGATTTTCAGGTCGAATGTCGACAATTTCCACGAAGCCAACGCAAAACTCGGGAACTAATAGAGCTAAAGCGCCTCGGAAAAGCGCATTCGGTAGCCCTATTGACGCCCTTTCTGAGTAATTCTCTCAGATTTTACCTAACGTCAACGGTTTTGCCTGCAGGGGGGCAAAAACTGCAAAAATAGGCGATTTTTTCGGAAACAGTTTTTCTGCAATGATTTTTTACCCAAGCCTTGTACGAGCTTACTTTTACCGGCATCGTGTTTCTCTCGTCAAGACGCATCGAATGAACTATAACTTGACCTTGGAAGGTCAACTTGAAAATTTGACCTTAGGTCAAGGTCATGACCTGACCGGAAAAGGTCATGTTGCATATCAGTCGATCCGTATCGTCGAGCTGAACACATCTAAGGCGTTTTCACCGCTCTAGCATGCCTCTATCAAAAGTTATTTGCGAAAAACTGTTAGACACCATTCGTGACCTGAGATGACCTCAGGGGCATAAATAGGGGTCACGGACACCATTTTTATGTTCAGTGTGTTTAAACCACTTGTAATTCAGTGTTTGGGAGTGTTTATAATGTCTTTCGTCCATAAGAGGCGCATTTCAATTTTATCCCATTGACTTATAATGGGGAGGTCGAAAAATTGACCTGACCTTAGGTCACCGATATCAAAATTCTGAAATATACATTTTATAGATACTGTTACCCTTATCAATCGCTGAAAGTCTCAAAGCGATCGGTCACTCGGTGTAGCAATGGCAGACATTGAAACTTTTTATGAGGTGAGGTCACTTCAAGTGACCTGGTGACCTGACCTTAAATGACCTTGGTCTGAAATTTTCACAACATGTGTAGAATTGATGTATGATAAGGTGTACCAAAAACGGCGTTCGCGAAAAACCACAAGGGGGGGGGGGTGTGTTCAAACACCCCTCCCCCAGCAGGGCGCGGGTTAAGTGCTGCCGATGGCTGTCCGATCTTATCAGCCTCGTTAGTGTCACCACACAGAGCGATAGTGTGCGATCAGAGGTAATGAGAGCGCCTATCAGGCTTATCACAGTTTCTTACTGTTTACCAAACTGTATGCGACACGGCACCAGCCGCTGTGTCAGCCACTGTGGCTCGTATGGACCGCTCTCACTACCGAATGTCGATCCCTGCTTCCTTCTCTGAGCTCCCTCACCATTGCTCCCTTCCACTGCGCAGAGCGGACGGGACAAAAACGCCTTCTGAATTCCGCCCCTGCTGCGGTGCCGTTTTTTGTGCGGCTGGTGGTGGCGTCCGGTGCTGTCCCTGTCAGCTGTTCCGAGGCAGTGTCGAATGTCGATGTCGTGGGGTGCCGTTTCTCGCGCCGTGCTTGTGCCGTGTGCCTTGCCGTTACCGTGGGGGTATGGATGCTTGTCACGTCGAGGCTAGAACAGACTGTTCCCTCCTGTCAGGTGAGCCATCCCTGCTCCGTAGAAACTCTGTAAGAGTCGACGTTTGTGTGAAGTCGACTGGTGGCGTGCGGATTGACAGCGGTAACCGATGACCTTTGTCACTCCGTCAGATGTGCTCTGCACTCCCGGGAGCGGGGTCACTGACCTTTTTTACCGCTTTGTCTCACTAGTGTTAACTGCTACTTTTGGCGAGATTGTTTGTGGCCAGAGCCAGATATCATCCACAGTTGGGGATGTAACTTTTAATTTGAAAGCTGCATCCTGTTTGGATCCAAATATCTGAGGACCGTGAATGATGCTTCTAAAAATAAGCGCCAGGTTTTGTGACCGACGGGAGCACAGAAACATCCCGTTTAATTGCGCTACACATGATGAAGCTAGCTACTGTAAAGGTCGATGCTGTTTATTTATAGACTTCAAAGTTTGCGTTACATTCTCTGATATCCATCCTGCCGAGGCGCTTGAACTGACCCGTCGACCTTTACCCACAGATGTGCCGTGTCTACGGGTACCGGTCAGTGAACATTGTCCGATCACGGGACGACCTGGACGAACTGAAGGAGTATCTGACCGGTCTGGGAGCGAACGTGATTCTCACAGAGGAAGAACTCAGGTGAGAACATGGCCGTGTCACAGGGAACGTTACCGGGATAGATCACGGTTGATAATGTTTTATCGAATTATCACATAAGCTAATGGTTCTTTTTGTTTTGTAGATGCATCGATACGGCAAAGTGCTCCTTGAAGCATATTGCCACTGTCCGACTCTCGATTTCCCTGAAATACAATATATGTTGTGCTGTGTTGCGGTGTTCTCTGGAAAAGTGGCTATACACCGTGCCCGCTCGTGAGGTGGCTGTGCTGGTGCCGCCCTAGTCTCCTCCAATACTGCCTCCCTTTATCTTTTTATTGCCCGTGCTTGTGCAAAATAGACCCATTGCGATCGTGTTTACGGCTCAGGGACACGCGAGGTGGGCTAGAAACGATGTGCCTGTTGACCACAACTACGCCCCTTTGCCATACGGCAGCCTTGTTGGGAGCGTTGCACTGGCTTCTGAGCATCTGAAAGGAACGGAAACGTGTATCTGTTTTCCCTGTCGACGATCCTGCTTCTACAGTCCACATCTGCGCGCGAGTATCACTTTCGCAACAGAGCCAAGCCTCTTCACCTTCTCAGCTGTCTGGGACGAGAGGGCCAGACAGCGTCGCTGTGGCCTTGTGCGTATGAATCGGACTGTCTAGTCACCACACCGCCGCCTCGCGGTGTTGCATCAGACTGGTGGGCGCCGTACTCGACCGTGGTGAGGTGCGTTTTTGTGTCGTGGATCTCCGCAGCGCGGCGGTGTCTGCTCAGCTCAGTCAGTTACCCGCGGGGACCTCTGACCTTGACCCGAGCCGGGGTAGATCACATCGTGGTAGTGTTGGCCGCTCGCGGGATTTGGCGGCGAGTCGAGCCAGTTTCAGTTGAAATTCCTTGTTCTTGTAGGACGATTCTGAACTCATAGCAGAGAGCAGTCAGCTTTAATCCGTTTATTGACCGGTTTCTTTGTGGCATGTCTTTCAGCTGTAAATTTAGGCATTGTTGAAGTTTGCGTTCATTATTTTGGTGCAGGCTTCAGAATGATGGTTATTTTTATTTCCCAGTTGTTCGATGTTGAGCCTCTCGTGCACGAACCTAAATCGTATGCTTATTTACTGGCCAGTAATCACGCGGTTAATTCGCAGCACGACTCAAAGGGCGGCCGTCCAATTTAAGTAACGAGGAAATCCGCTTGTGGCAGGCGTATTTTGTACAGATAGTCTCTAACCTTTTAAGTTTCGCAGTTATAAGGGATTTAGTCGTGTGACATCATTCATGATCAAATACTTCAGATTCTGCTTTGACTTGCGGTTTGCTTATCTCTCTGCATCTGATATTTTGATGGATCGGGTTGTCAATGCATCAATCATCATGATAAGCTTGGTTTCCTTTTTTCCGGTGTACTTTTTCACCAGAGCGGTGGGAGTTTTATCGGTGGCCAGGCCTGGTGAGCCGGTTACCGCCTATCTGCGGAAGCCGCCCTGACGAGCACCTGATGCTGCGGTCCGCATTATAATGAAGTCGACATTTCCGCTGACACGGCTCTGTCAAAACATTGTAACACTTGATAGGCGTCGGACAATACGAGAATCGGTAGTTATTTTTTCGTCAGTGGGCGGTTGTCCGGTGCTGGCTCGGTGCTTTCGTATGCTTCAATTCGTACGTTTCAGTACGCTGCTGGCCCGGTTGTGAAGCCGACGACGTCCGTGGCGACAGAGTCGTGACACCACTTTAGGACGTAACCGCGGTGATGGAGCTCTTACTGACGGCGGCAGCTAAATGGAGAGCGGGTGACACCGGTACACCCAGCCCTCGTCTCGCTCTGCCTGTGTCACGTCCACGCCCAGAGCCCCACACCCAGCGCCCCTGATCACGGCCCCACCCAGCTCAACAGGCCCAGCTCAGCACATCAAAATCCGGCACTGTCTGGTCCGGTCGTGATGTGAGATCGCTGTCACTTGCAGTTTTTGGTCACCTTAGTCAGCTCAGATAGTCGTTCTCATCTAGGTAATGCCTGCTGGATAAAAGATAACAGCTGACAGCTACTGAAGCTTCACCGCTGACGGTTGATTGCTGACTGAATGGCGGCGACAAGAAAAGCAAGGTCTGTTAGTATCTTGTGACGGGACTAGGGAATGGCCCTAATGGTCGAATGATTGGTTCAGTAAGTTGGCCGGTTAAGAAGGATGATGAAATAACTTCAAGTGAAATGGAATGACTTGCAGATTCATAAAGTCGGCGGTGTCCGAGTGAACAAAGCCAACGTTGACTGAACGGCGCCGCGCCGTTAAGCTTGGAAGGCCGGGCGGCCGTCTCAGTGTGTCGCATGCCTTCGTCAGCGACTTGACAGCTGATTGATAACGTCTTTAGGAATGTCAGCGCGGGCTGACTGAAATTCCAGTGTCGTATTGAATTGTTGTACTTTACCTCGGTGTCCGCACACATCGTCGCGTGACAAAGACATCAAGATATGCGCCTGCTAAATGATAGCTGGGGCATTCCACGATAGATCGTACCACTTTTTTCCAATTTGACACCCTCATCTCTCGGAATTTGACGAGAATTGGTCTCTAGGGTAATCAGGGGCTCTGAATCCACCTGTAACAATTTCAGGCTTATCAGAAAAGTATTTTTTGAGTTATGGTGTATAACATTTTTGGATCTTGCTTTGCAGCGCTAAGTTTGGCGGGCTGTAACTCTAAGACGGATTATTCAAATGCCAAATGTTATATAACATTGAACTTGCAATGAAACAGAGATTAATATGTATTTTTGAAATTTCGAAAAATACGCTATTTTAGATATATGACATATCGAGTTTTCTTTCATTTGTATTTTTTGGACTTTGGGACCAAATTTTTTTGATTTTTTATTTCTTTAAAAAAATATTTGGCTCATTGTTAAGAAGTATGCAAAAAATTAGGAAGGTGTTCTTTCTATAAATGTATTTATTTTACGTCACGATAACGGTTTCGAAAAGTGATTTCGGGAGGGGAGCTTACAAATGGCGTGGTAAGGCTGCTTAGTGACATCACGGGTTACTGAAATTTCAATTCAAGTCTGAGTCATCTGAAAAAAAGTGAAAAGAGGGTTCATTCAACCCTCTTTCCTATGAGCGCGAGGGTGAAAAAGGCTGTTTGGTTCTGACATTGTTTTGGACGCCAATGACCATAGCTGTCCGAGATGAAAGTTACAGGACGCATACATGGTGTCCTCCAGAGGCCTCACAACTTATATATCTGGGAATTTTCAAGGTTACATGAGGTCAGGTCGGTCACGTGACATCACTGTTATAAATCAATGGGGAAATATAAAAACTGTTATTTTGGCGCCGAGAATGATCTACAACTATCCCACGTACATGGTATCGTGATTTCATGCACTCCTTGCAAAGTCCAATGCTTTACTTTTGCATTGTTAACCTTGCGTGAGGTCATTTATGACGTCACTAGGGTCGTACGAGTTTTTCGTCAATAACTCCCGATCAAATGGAGCTAGAGAGTCGGGAAAGCCACCAATGGACTCGGGAAGACCTTCCGAATCGAATGATATGCCATATGATACCCTTTGCCCAGCTTCGTGACCTGAGGGGCTCTGACCTGACCTTGACCCGAGGTCAACTACTTAAGTTGACCTCACCCTAGCAAAAAGTATACCATTCGATGCACCTGAGCTAGGCGAACACAATGATGCCAAAATCGCGGCTCTGCGGCCATTTTTTGCGAAGTTATTTACTAAAAACCGAACCCGTAACTTCAGTCACGTGACCTGACCTCAGACGCTACCGGTTAACCTGAGACCTTAAAATCGGGTACCAATCGCTGCGACTTGTAACGGCACACACGCTCGTTTTTTCCGCGAGGCTCTAGCTCTATTAGAAGCGAAACGGCGTGCTGGGGTCGTATCAACCCCTCCGAAACCCATTTTGTTTGCGGGAAAATGAGGAACTTATAGAAAGAACACCTTTCTAATTTTTTGCATGTCGATTTGCAATGACATGAAGATTATTTTGAAAAAATAAAAATGTGAAAAATTTTGGTCCCAAAAGTCATTAGAGGCAAATGAAAAAAGATTAAGGTTTTTGCTCAACATTGAAATTTTTTCTTTGGAATTTTTAAATAGTAATATTAATTTTTGATTCATCGCAAGCTTAGTGTTGTTTACTTTTTGTTGGTTGCTTAACCCGTTCTTGAGTTATAGGACATCAAACTCACCGTTACATACCGAAGTTAAAAAAATGTAATGCAATATAACTCAAAAAGTTTTGATCTGAGAAGTCTGATATTTTGCCAGGCGTCTTTGGGGCCTATGATTACCCCTAGGACCGATTTTCATTAAAATCTGAGAGATGAGGGTGACGGGCCTGGTACGATCTATCGTGGAATGCCCCAGCTGTTTGGTACTGTAGCCAAATATTCGATTCAGCGCCAACAGTGATGTTAGCCAACACTGATGCTGAGGTCTGATGTTAGTTTCTCTCAAGTCTTTTAACGTGTGAACTGAACTATCGTCTCGAGAAAAAAAGAGATTAAAGTCAAAAATCATGTGACATGTTATCGCATAATGCATAACGTCGTCAATCTCTGTCCTGTCTGACCTATGCAAGCTGCGAACTTGGCTGCGAGTGTGTCTGCTGCAAGGCTTTAGCTTTACCAGAAGGAGGATCGCATTCCCTTTCTTTGTGTCGGCCTCAACTGTGCCGCCGTTGCAACAAACAGTAGCTAGCGCAGCTGTGTGATATGCAGTGACGCCCCGCGCGCTGAAGGTGTTGCTCTCTGTCGGGTGCTCTCTTCGCTCTACCTTTGACAGTAATTGCGCAGTAGTGACTATTTGGGAAGATATTTCGCTGTCTGCCAGTGCTGATGAAGTGCGAATACGAAGCTGCCGGAACACCTCAGGGGGTTTGAAGTCTGTCGGCATTGAGGCTGTATGCGGGGACTGCACGAGCGAGTATGGCTGAATGAGTTGCCGACTAGGGACCGTTGCATGTATGGGTTGGCGGAGATGGCCTCCGTCTGTTGTTTCGCTAGTTGTGATGACGAATGACGTTTGGACTGTAGCGGTGTGGGGTATTGATTGTTTGTTGTTTGACAATTTCTCTCCCAGATAATGAAGATGTAGAACTTAACGTATCTTTTTTCGAAGTCAAATGAAGCATTTTCTTGGAAAAATTTGCATGTTTGCCTGACGTCGAGCTGTGTTACAGGAAATGCATCAAGTATTGATCGCTGTCCAGGTGCCTTCGTCTGATCGCTGATCGCTGTCCTTCGCTCTCGTCTGACTCATCTCAATCACCGTGTGCCGTATATTCGCCCTGTTCTCTGTGTCTGTTACCATTCACCCACCTGTACCGACCCTCACCCCGCCCTCGTCTGTCGCCAGGACCACACAGCTGTTCAAATCGGGCGAGCTACCGCGGCCGCGGCTGGGGCTCAACTGCGTCGGTGGCGCATCGGCGACAGAAGTGGCGCGCCAGCTGGCGCCCAGCGGCACTTTGGTCACCTATGGCGCCATGAGCCGGGCGCCGCTCACCGTCCCCACAGCACAGCTCATCTTCAGCGACCTGCGGATCCGCGGGTTCTGGATGACGCACTGGACCCGCACCCACAGCGTGTCCAGAGCGCGGTGGGAGATGCTGGATGAGATGCAGACGCTCTGCGATCAGGGATACTTTAAGTGAGTACCGAGCGCGGGTTAATGGTTGGGTGTGACATTGGGATGTTTGATAGACGGGTGACCGGTTGGATGAAAATAGGTGAACTTTGGTAAGATCCAATAGTAGTTTTTAAAAGAATGGGACCGGTATGAAATTGAGAGCTTAAGGACATTGTTTTCGGTGATGCTAAGGCTCGTATGGATTCCGCATTAGTTGATCTTTCAACTCTGAGCCATCTATCAAGGTTGTTGACCCTGGCTAGATGCAGGACCGACTTGTTTTTATTGGGTGAAGGACTCTGAATGAATGCTAACCGCCGCGCCGTGAGGGGAGTAGGGACGCGCTGTCTGGCTTGGGGTTTCTGACGCAACCGCTGCTGTCGGCCGACCGTTCTCTCTCCCTCTAATGGCTGAATACTGGGGATGGGGACAGGCGGGACAGGGGTCGGTAGGTAGCAGGAAGTGGCCATCATTTCTCATGATGCAACAGCATATTCCGATGGCTCGGCGCTCGCTGTAGACTGACTAAAGTTATCCCGGCGGGTGATTTGTGCAGACGTGGCTCGCTAGACATAAACACTCGGTTATTCTGACGACTGTCGCCACTATTCCACTCACTCGGCAACTTTGTGATATGTTAGACCGTGGATTGCGTGAAACGGTAGCGTGAGCAATGTTTGTTTTTGGTCGTTCCGTGCCTGGGATTGTTTGTGTTTCGCGTAGCACGGTGGCTCTGTCCCTGGCCGCTTTTGTTTTGTGTTAGTGGGGGTTTGCAGGTGTATTTTTTGTCCGCGCTACCTCGCCACATACCGCTGCTGCATTGAGTGAAGGTCATGGTGATCGTTTCGTTATAGAACTGTGTCTCCGATTTTCCTCGTCCTTGATCGGGCTCCATCATTGTGCCGCTGACCTGAGCCTCCCCGCCCTCCTTTCTTGACTTGCTCGTTCTATCTCCCCATGACTAGCCTATGTTCGCCCCCTTGACTGATCCGTCGGTCCACGCTTGACACATCACTTCATGGCATTCCTGTGTCCCCTGATTATCCCCGATCAGTCCCACTCCCGTTTATCCTCCCACGTAGCTGGCCCGTGCATTGAAAAGTGCCCTTCCGCCTGCCGCAGAGCCCCGCGACACGAGCTAGTCCACATCGACGATTGGCGAGAGGCGGTCCGACGCACCATGCCCGGTGGAGGCCGAGTCGGCGCCAAACAGATCCTGATCTTCGACCGTGACCTGAAGGTGTAGCGCTGCCCCGAGCAAACCACGCGACGGCCCGCCGACCTGTGATGCTGCCGCCCAGCGGGTGAGCCCGAACTTGAGGTTAGATTCGTGCCCAGAGATGGCGCCCCGTGATACTGCTGTGCGAGTCACCGGTGCGATTTTGGACTGAGGCGATTCGCGATGAATTGGTGCTCTTGTGAGGCGCTGTCGGGAGAAGTTGTCTTTGTTTTGAAGCGTTTGGTTGGTATTTTTCCAGCCGCATATTGTATTTCGTTTTTATAAGGTGAATGCAGCCCGGTCATGCGTCACTTTGAGTGTCATGCCACCTGGCAGTTTTGAGGGAAGATTTTGTGAAGCGGTATGAAATAAACGATCCATGCATGTTGTAAGTTGCTTTACATAGTTTGTGACGATGGTGGAGGACTTAAGCGGTAGTGCAGCGGTCTAGCTCGCCTGGCTCGCCCCCTTTCGAACAACGAACACCTCGACCATTCCTCAGACTTGATTGGCGGGCGGCGATGGCGGATCCTGCATGTAACGATGTTTTTATTTCATTGAAACATTTGTATATGTACAAAAGAGTATATTGAGTGCTAAGGCTCGTTCTAATCATCAGCAAGAAACAGAACATCATGACACTTTCGTGTGCTCTGCGACGGTGAAAAATCTGTTCCAGAGGCCAGTTTTACCAACAGAAAAATAGCCGCCTGCCGGAATTTTTTGCCTAAAGACCGCTTCACATACGGAGCGTAAACGCGATGGGCATGTTTTCGTTTCATATGTAAAACGGTCTTTAGGCAAAAAATTCCGGCAGGTGGCTATTTTTCTGTCGGTAAAACTGGCCTCAGATCTTCAAGTCGCACAAATGTCGAGATATCAGACGCATGGAAAACGAACCAACCTCGGCGAACAACACTACAGAACATCAGGCGCATGTCACAACAGTATCAAACACTTCACTCTCAATTGTTGCCCGGAACAACAATGTTGCACCGATCTCGACTTCGCACAATGCTGACAACTCGTTTTCCACAAAGTCAGATTGGGTAAACAGCACTTTGTTCCCCAGTAATATCAATATCGTGCCTTCTTGCCATCCCCAGCGGCCTTCCCATCGAAGCCGGCCGCTCCGAGACACCAGTGGCTTCCGATCAGAACTGGTACCGTCGTCGGTCCGGTGAGATCGAAACACGTCGCTAGAAAATCATCCAACCAACCTGCCACCCTTCCGCGTCCCTACAACTCTCACGTCGTTACCACTCTCAAGAGAATCACCCAAGCCATCAGAACCCCTCCCCTATGCATGTTTGAACTTGTACACCTATCTCTCACTGTCAAATAATCTCACTGCAAAATAAAGTACCCACCTGTCAGTCACAATGTCCCTCACCTCGTATGATACACCATTGATAGCTGAAAACTGTCCCCGACCCCAACACGGAGTAGGGAAATACTAAGGCACACACAACCCGTTACTGATTCATCGTTCAGCCTTCACGACGTAGCGCATGTTTTAGCTCTCTTGCGTAAAAAAGCGAGATCCGAATGTATCAAACAGAACATAGCAATGGCGCCCCTGCCTCCCTCACTTGTCCTTCGGTCAAGCTGAATCCTTCTTCAACGATTGAACGTGAAACGTGCAGCTCTGAACGAACTTTGTTACGAAATGAAATTTAAATCAACAGTCACTTTCCGGGAACAAAATGGTCAAAAACCGGTCTCATGTGAGTACTACAAGCTCGAGTATTTCCGAGATCTAAATCAGCCATCATAGCTTCACTTGGCACAATCTGATCACCCCAGCGGCTTGTTTGCCACTTCGATCCTTCCATCAAACCACTCTTCCGTCCGATCTAGTTCGATATGTCTGTCCAGAAAGATGCGATATCTTTCCGTCCGTCCTTCATCACACCATCTCTGGCTGCGGCGTGGCCGGCGACTCCAGCGACACATCATCCCCCTCGGCCGACCTCGGACTGGCGTTCCGTTTGCCCTCCTCCGTCTCATTATCCCGCGGCAGTGAGAGCCGCTGGGCGTTCTTGGTGTACGGGCTGCGGCGACCGTTATTGAGCCGCTCGGGCGGCGGCGGGGAGCCGGCCTGGCGCAGGTCGTTGTGCAGCGTCAGGCTGCCGCGCGGCTCGGCGCCGCCGGGCGCTCTCCGGCGCTCGGACGGCGTCGTCTGCACGGCCACGCTGACCAGCGCCTGGTTATCCCGCTCGGCCTCGCTGCCGCCCGGCAGCTTGGTAAGCTCGATGGCCGCCTCCGTCCAGGGCGGAGATGCGTCCCGTGCCGAGGCTGGCTGCTTGCGGCGCGCGCGGGCAAAGTCCACCACGTCGCCGAGCAGCCGCTGACGGAGGTTGATGATGGAGGAGCCGGAGCTGACGTTGGACGACTGGCCGCGACTCTGCCGGCTAGCCGCCCGCTTACTGGAGGCCGCAGACCTACCGGGAACGGGCGAGAGGCGTGTCAGCTGTCAACAGGCGGCTACAAAAGTTACAGCACGGCGGATGACAGTGACTGGTGAAACGACAGTATTATGGTGGCTAATAACATTCAAACGAATGGCACGCTTTTGAGACCATGCTGCCCTCTACGCTCAATTATCCATACTCTATACGGCCGCACGGCTGAAGTTATATTACCTTCACAAGGCCTGACAGCCACATTCTCTCCCAACGTTTCCTCCCTCAGACCGCCCCCCCCCCCACTGTTACCCCTCTGCTCACCTGCGTCCATCCTCCTCGTGTGAGTGGTGCCGGGCGCGGCCGGCCCACACCTCCTCCTGCTCCGAGTCGATGTAACTGGCGTTATCGCGGCCGCCCTGAGTCTGTGCGGAGCCGCCGCTCTCCGGCTCCAGGCCTGCGGACAGAGGAGAGAAGAGGGAGTCAGATGAGCTGCTCGGGCGGAAAATGGAACTGGACACAAGACAGGGTGACAGACCAGAAACAGTACAGAGCGCGAGGGAGAACCTCCGAAATAGAAAAACTTAAGAATGATATCTCGGAGCATTCGGAACATTCAGCGGACTTTGATGATGCCACAAAGCGACCGAATCGCACTATAATGAATACAAGACAACTGGTTGCGATTGCGAATAGCGACATTCAGCCCACGAAGGTGAGGGTGAAACCCGCAAATATGCTTCAACGATGGTTAATTTTTCATGCAGGTTTGACAGTTGAAAGGCAATGCATCGTGTAGACGTTTTGATGTGCAGCACCTAATTGAGAACGCCAGGCCAAATGAGTTCTACAACAATACAACAAAATTCCGACTCAGTCGCTCTCAGCACAATTAGCGGAGATGCATCATCTGCAACTCAGGCCAAATCGCATTCGTGAATAGAGGTCGCTGTCTCATAGCAGTTATAGCACAATCCCACTGTCATTAAGATTTCTGCGATGTCATCGTTCATAATAAATCAATTGGGCGACACCGACAATGACGCGCACATGAGCACAACTTGCGCGTTTACCACCCCATCCCAAAGCAGAAAGCAACTGGCTGTTGGGGCGTTGATAATCTTGCAGCTACAGAAAAAAAAAACGATTAATTGTCTTAACCAGCTGTCGTCCTGCTACTCGTCACAATCAGTTTCGAAGAGTGGACAAAACGGTGGTCAGAGAATGCATATGTGTGGACTGGGCAGGGAGACACTAGACACACTACACAGGCAGGTCGGTCTTATGGACAGTCGCAGGGCAATCATCCTGTCAAGAGAGGTGACATAGGTTGATAACAAAACAGGTAGGACGTCGGTCCCTTGAATGCAATCAAAGTGACATAGTTAGGGCGGTCGCGTAGAGGGTTCTTACCGATGGCTGCTGGGACTCCGGTGCCCCTCCTGGTTCGGCGCGGCTCGGCCCGGCCCGACCGGCCCGAGCGACTCGACTTCATGTGCTTGGTCAGCGCCATGGCGCCCAGCAGCTGACGGTACACGGGAGGAGTGGCAGTCAGACGGAGTTATGTCCAACGAACCTGAGCTGCTTCACTAGTGCAGGACGGAACTACTTAAAAAGGTGTCAACACATACCGTGCACTAGTTAATGAGAAGCGGCAGTGGCAAACGAAGGAGTATTCGTGTGCAAATACACCCAAGACGTTCTGGCAAGCAAGTAAGTTCGAACAGCTAGAATGGAGCGTTTAACTCAATGTTCATTTCTAAGACTCACTAAATAATTCTAACAACCGCGAAGTAACCCATACTATCATCACCATCCACCATCATGACTGTAATCCACACTACCCACCTCAGTCCAGCTCAATCTTGCTCATCAACGGAACCCGCCCACCTGAAGCAACGGCGGATATCATCCACCAGACTCCACCCTCGACACTCACCTGCGAGCTAATACTGCTGCTGGCCTGGGACAGCACGCTGCTGCTGCGTCTGCTGAGGGTCGAGTCGCTACGACCGACGGCCAGACGGGTGGAGAGCCGTCCGGCGCGCCGCACGTCGGCCAGCGCCCGGCGCCGGCCGCGCCGCCTGCCGCCGAGCAGTGCCACCACCCGGTCCGCCTCGGAACGGTACAGCGAGCGGGTCGAGTCGAGCGAGTGGCGCCGCGACATGTCCGAGTCGTGTGACAGTCTGCAGGGGAGAGAGCGAGGGTGTCAGTGAGATGAACTTGCGGGGAAGAACGAGCGTTAGTTGGGGAGAGAGTGAAGGGATGAGGGACGATCATTTGGTGGTTGGAGATATAATGGCAGGGGACGAACGAGAATCGGGTGCTGGTGAGAAAGTAGACTGGATGGAAGGGATCAACTTGGGGGCAATTAGAGAATTCAGCTTAAGGGGACAGGTGATGGTGGTGAGGCAGCCTGGCGGGACTAACAAGTTACAAGACTCAAGTTGACAAGTTACAAGACAACAAGTTACAAGTTGGGGAGAGGTCAGATTGGACTAGGGAGATGAGATGGCTCAGCTGGAGAGTTGCTATTGCCAAAGGTACGTGCTGTGTCAGCGCTACGTACCTCCTGCTGTACCGGCTGTGGCGACTGGTCCTGCTGTAGCGACTGTGACGGCTCGCCCTGCTGTACAGACTGTACAACGATCCGTCCGAGTTACGACTGAGACCCAGTGCCGACGACGTGGAGCCGATCAGGGCGCCGCGCCGCTCCATCAGACTCGGGATGGCCGCGAAAAACGACGACGACGGCGAGTCGGAGGTGCCGCTGTTCAGGCCCAGGTACATACCTGAGCAAAAACAGAAAGTGCGGGTAAAGGTGCTGCATGGGGCAGGGCATGGCAGCCTCGACCTGTCATCTTTCAGACACAGGAGTGCTGAAAGAGTTTCGACGTTTTGCACGGACTTTGGTACATAAATGTCATTGGACACGGCAGCGTTATTTTGGGTCACTTAGTTCATCACATATAAGCAGCTGCCATACGAGAATGCAATATGCGAAGTCGGTGATCCACTATACGAAAACGTCAACACTGGCAAGCTAAACGCTGTACAACACGACACGAGCACACCACGGTCGAATGAAAAATCGAAAACGACTCCGCCCTTGAATGTTCGAACACCAAACTCGGGTGAAGCTGAGCTATGAGTTCTCAGTTCACTTACCAACGGGGTCCGAGTGCGTGCTGTGGAAGCTGAGAGAGATGCGTCCGTTCTGGGCCAGCTCGTAGCGTTTAGACCAGGCCTGGGCGATCACCTGGTGTTTGCGGATACGACGCACCGGCCGGTCCTCGGGCTTACCGACCACGCTGAAACGAGAGAAGTGCAGTCAGAGACACTGTTCATCTGACTTATAGCTGCAATGAGACAGCCGACAATGATTCAGCTAGATCCGAGCGGATGACATCGGAATGATGTGATGATTAAGTTACACAAAATAAGCTCACTTGATGATACGAAGTTTACTAGACAACTGGTTGCTGGCAAAAAAGCGTCGAGCGTTGCTTTCAAGATGGATTCGACAAGGCAAATAATTGCTAAAAAGTCGCAATACTTCACAAAATCATTTGCCCAAACCCCTAAAACATGACAACTGACAGCTCTAACCACCCACACAGGCAAGCCCAACTCCTTTCCCCCTACTCACCGTCGGTAGAACCTGTTCCAGGACCTCAGCGTGGACCTCCTCCAGACCCAGCTGGAGAACACGATGCCCACGGCGAACAGGCAGAACACGTGGACCTTGATGACGACCGGCGCGGGTCGCTGCGTCACCTGGCAGGCCGGCTGGGAGCGGTAGCCGTAGCTGTAGTCGTCGTACCGGCGGTACGTGGTGTTCGCCTGACACCTGCGGAATGAGAAGTAAGGGGGAAGGTTAGGAGGTGGTGACAGACGGTACCAGAGAACGGGATGAGACCAATAAAGCTGACAGTAGATGGGAGAGCGACAATGAAAAAACTCAGCGATTTATCGCCACTTGATGAATCAGCTATAGAACTCCGGAAATGCCACCCTGATATAGAAACAAATGATCAGAAAACAGAGACGACGTAACAAAACCAAGCTTGCTTATTTTCTCACCAAAGTCTTAGCGTAATGTAGCCCCCTACCCTCTAGCGACCCACGCCTCTCCTCCCCGCACTCACAGCAAAAAGTCCCTGACGTCCTCCTCTTGCCGCTCCCGCCCGCCGTACTCTAGAACGTGGCACGCCACGCTGACAGCCAGTGCGGTCACCAGCAGCAGGCCGCACACACACAGCCGGGCGATACTGGTGTTCACTACACGCTTCTTCTCAGACTTTTCCGGCTTCTGGCGCACCAGGAAATGCACGCCTGCGTTCGCCACCGGGAGTGGGGTTAGAATAGGGGTGTGATAGGAGATAACGGGGCTGGGCGGCGCCTCACGGTCGGAGCTAAGCAAAAACATACAAAAAAGATCAACAAGTTATTGTCGCGTGGATTTAATAGGCCCCGTGACATATCCAATTATCATTGCATTGGTAACAATCAAAAGAAAATGAATGTCAACCAAATACCTATTGCATAAATTTTAAGCACGAAATACACAATAATCGCCAAGATTCTCGATCGATACAATTCAACAACCGTAACAAACGTCTTCAATCTTCATTCGTACCTATGCAGGATCATCTAGCAGCATGTGCGCTGAAATGTTTGCAGAGCAAACTTACCGTCATCATGTCGTGTTTCCTGATCCATAGAAGGCGTGCAAAGAAAGGACTGCGGTTAGTACAACGCCAATGCCATTTTATCAGTCAGTTACAAGACGCTTAGAAGATTATTGCTTCTACGAGTCACTAATAGCAGCTTAGGTTGTTAGTACCAAATACCCGCAATATTGACGTAGGTACGCTAATCACATACAAGCGAACAGACCTATGCGAGGAAGTGCAAAAGTGTGAAGTCGTCCAAAGTTGCAAAGCGAATCGTTAGAGGTTTAGTGATAAGAATTCAGCAATGACTTCAATTCTAAACAATGTAATTGGCTGACATGCGAAAAGCAGATTAAAACCAATGCTCAATCAGTAAACGGGCTACGGAGAATGAGTTTATAGAAATGTTCATGCACAACGTTTTCTCTACAAAGCAACAAGTGATAAGAGCCCCAGCGTTCCAAGATTCCCATTTCCCACTAATGCAGCTCCTAACTTGCTTCTAACCATGCACCAGCCCACTCAGAGCTCCCAGTACTGGCTATTCCACCTCTACCGGACAAACCCGCCCGATACGCACTTCTGATGAGGAAGAAGCCTCCGATGAGTGTGGCCGCCAGCGCCGGCATCAGCACGAAGCCGAGCCGGTAGCGCCAGCTGCCGAACCCGACGAAGCACACGCCGTAGATGTAGTTGCTGTCCACCACTGCCAGACATGACGGACAAGCAGTGTGTCAATTGAGAAACGCGGGCAGGCTGGTGGGGTGGGAATGAGTTCACGGTTCAGACACGGTTACAAGATCGAAACGCCACTTAGTGGCTATAGTTTGCTACATTCACTAGTTTAAAAAAATGGTCTAGGATTTAATTAAACCAAAATATAAATATAAACCGGCACATGCTCCACCCGCCGCCATTGTCTCACCGTCAGAGGTGGCCAGCGCTGCGGTGGTGAGGATCAGCGGCACCGACCACGAGATCAGGTGGAAGTAAGACGTCATCGAGTCCAGACGCTCCTGGATCTCACGCGACTGGCCTGTGAGGAGGCATCGAGATAGTACGTGGAGTTAACATACAACGGCATTGGCGACCTCAGTGGGCGGAAGCTGTGTAAATGAATTAAATTGAACACGTATAAAACCCAATGATAATTTTCTAAAAAAGAACAGTACGGAAACCACGATCATGACCACTCCAAATAAGATTCTCGGAAGAAATGTTACTGAACTACAATCCGTAAAAAAGTTCTAGCTGGAAACTGCTATTTTGTTTTCAGAAATCAAACATGGGACGACTGCATTACTCACCAAACGTTTTGAACGTGATGTTCCAGGAGAATGTAAGCATGACGAACCAGCAGAAGGCGGCGATCACCGGGTAGTAGATGAGGATGAACACGGCCGTACAGGGGGTGGCAGACTCCTCCGATCTGGCGCAGGTACAGCAGAGATACATGGTGATGATGGATTGGGGCATCATGGATGCATTCTATTGAAGCTTCATAAGAAAGATAATGTCAGCGATGATGGGTAGGTGTACTCTTTTGTGGTATCTCGTCGAGCGCAAATTTATCGAACGTTGCTTTCATCGCCATGAATCTTAGAAGCTCAGCTACGGAAGGCTGTAGAGACTCATAATTCATCCATATCCAGCTTCGGCGACCCTCCCGGCCTGCATTGGTGTCCCCTCCCATACCATCGTGCTTACAGCCACCCAATTTACTGCATTCCCCTCCTCCACAGTCAACACTCCGTCCCTCGGCGTCACTGACCCCGGTCCGCGCAGCGTGCCGTCCCTGTGGCAGACGACCGTGTCGCGCGACTCGTCCAGGAACTGCACCAGGAAGCCCAGGATGGCCAGACACAGGCTGAAGTTGATGTAGAAGATGCAGCGGTTGGCGGCGTACTTGCTGAACGAACGCCAGTCGATAATGTGCGTCAGCTGTGAAAGAGCGGGAAAGGGGGATGTCTGAGGGAAACTATCGAACACCAGAAACGTCATTTGTATAAAAAAAAACTGAGCACGCCAGCCATCATAAATGCAAAGCAAAAGGGAATGCTTCGAAAATATTGTCATCTCCAGAGAAAGCCACTATGAAATAGTCATTTTTCCTTCGGGGAGAAAAATCCTATAAATGGCCCTTAAAAAACAGCCACGCTAACGAGGCAACAGCTAACGAGGCATGACGTTAGCTGCAGTTAATGAATGCAGCTTATCACGTATAAACATCGCCAAACCTGGCCCTGTCTATCCCACAAAATCTATCTCACGGACGTCTTCCCCACGTACCACGGTGAGCAGTGTGAGCGCGAAGCTGAGCCCGCCGAACACGTGGATGAAGCGGTGCACCTCGTGCCGCTCCTGGGTCGAGTAGAGCAGACCCTGGCAGGGCGGCGCGCAGCCCTCCACCGTCGGGTAGAAGGCCAACTTGTTCTTGGTGGGCACCAGCGGAGACAGGCACGTGGTGGTCGTGTTGAACTTGAGGTCCTGCATGGAGTTCTGGGAACAGGGAGAGAAACGGGTCAAAATGGAGTGTCACGTATCCGGAATGGAAGTCATAAGAGTCAAAGAAAAGAATGAGATGACTGTATACACCGAATGGCTATGGCAAAAAAAAATCGTCTTCCCGCCTTCTTGACAGTTCCATTTACAAACCAAGATGAGATGACAGAAAGTATTTCGAAACATCATTTACAGCGAACTCATTGACTACCACAGACATACGGCTAAATAAGACGGTGCTTACTCTGCATTTTGACGGAAAGCGTGCCTCGTCGCACTCGAGAAAGGCGGGCCATCCGAACAAGGCTTCCGCGAACCTACACGGGCCCCGGACCTTCTGACACATTTCCTGTGAGAGAGGCCGAGCGAAAGATCGTCAGACATTCACATTCATGATGGTTGGAAGTTAACTCTAGCAAGGTGTGCATGCGACGCATGGCAGAGAAATGGTTACTGCCTTGGTCAAAAGATGTCCATACATGGGTACAGAAGACAGCAGAATCGATCGATCAAACAGCAAAAGTATAACTGGCATAAAATACGACGCACATTTTTAACGATGATGCTAACCATCAGCAATTTCGATAAAAGACATTTTAAGATTACAATTTCGGATAACACTGATGACAACCTTTCCTAGTTCCCACGGCAGCAAAAAAGTAAGGATACAGCAAACAACATGTTACCTTCAATAATGTCACAAACAGCTACTGGATGAAAAGTAGCCACATTTCCAGAGATGCAAGAGCAGATAATTTTCTTACCAGAGAGGGAAGTTCCACAGAATCATTTTCACACTTTGGCATGTAGACTGCACAAAGAAAAGGCTGAATGACACTCCAACATTTTGGAATATGCTGCAAGGCTTCCCATCTGCTCAGGTCCTCCTGAAATATAAACAATGCATGAGTAAAACGATATCGCATGGTCCAGCTTAAACACAGCAGCTACTACCTATCTAAATATTCATGAGATCACTTAGTTACAGATCAGTCATGAAGCAACACCTTATGAATAGTACAGCAGTATCAAGTTGTAAATAAATGATTAACTACCCAATTCACACGTTGCAAAGCTACACATATCCGTTGAAACGCTACGCTTGTTTGTCTTGTTAGGTTATGCCCTTTTGGTCTATTGAGACCATTGCAGAGCTGTGAGGATAATAGGAATTAGGGTGAGACTTTGGTCTGGGCGGGCACCCTAGTGAGTCGCCGGAGCTGAGCCCATCCAGTTGGACAGGTCGCCCAGCCCCTCTCCTACCCCCCACCCCACCCTCCCCAAGCAGTCACTGCACCCAGCTATGGGTGTGTTCCCTTAGGAGTTGCGAATGGGAGCCACCCATATGTGATAAAGTTGCCTGTCCAGCCCGGAACAGGGGTTGCCGGCGTGGAGGAGGATTTGAATGTTCTTATGATGGAAACGAAGGAACGGGTGACCTCACACTTGTCCCTTCTGACACCAGCAAGCGCACGCACGCACCTTGAGGCTCTCCTGCGAGCTGAAGTCGGTCAGGTTGAGCGAGGTGCTGGCGAACCGGAGCGCCGTGCCCAGGCACGTGGCGCCGTAGCCGTGGCCAGCGCCGTGGCGCAGAGGCTGGCACACGGCTGGCCTGTGGCAGGTACGCAGCGGAGGGCCCTGGCGCGGGGAGAAGCCGTCCAGCTGGCCGAACGGCCTGCCCTCCAGCGGCAGCCGCTCAAAGTAGGACTGCGGCGGCTGGCCGCTGGGCGGCAGCGCCGGCTCGGTGCCAGCCGGAGGCCACTCGCCCCCGTCGCTGGGCTCCTCAGAAACCTCCGACGTCGGAGGCGTCACGGGAACGGTGACGTCACTGTCGCCGTGCACGGCCGCGGCCGCCGTCAGGGCGACCGCCAGCGTCACCCGCAGCAGCCCCGGCACCCACATGGCACCTGGCGACAGAAAAAAAAACGTTAGCAATTACTAATGCTCACAAGTCGAATTACGTAAATTCTTCGCATATATACTGAAAGGGCCTATCCCCACAACACAAACACATTCTTCATGGAAACAGAATGTATCCAACGACAGTGCACAATAGCTCATGTTTCCTATTGTTAAGGATTGGAAACCTTTTTGATATTTCAAATGGTTTGTACTTTGTTCACTTATTCTTTAGAGAGCGTTAACATTCGAACTTAGTGTTACTGTCTGTTAGGGTCAATGCAGCAAGAAATATCAAGAACTGGTTGAAACTCTTATTGGGTTGAAATTTTGGTTGACAGATGAGCTCAATGAGCCATGGACAGATGAAACTCCAAGTATGTGGGGTCTTTAAATTTAAAAACACTCAGGCAAGGTATCATATTTTAAATGTTTGAGACATGCAATAAGCTATCATGACTATGAAAAAATAATTAGAAGCGATTGAGCTCTGATTTTGATAGCTTTAAGGACAAAAATTAATTAGCACTTTAATTTGTAATTCAACTCAAGATTCTGCTGAGCAAGGTGTAAGTACAAGTAGGTAAGCACCCTGCTGACCTGAGTATCCATTACAGTGGGCAATGGATGAGCTATGAGCCAGTGCCCTTGGAGGCAGCTTTAAACTTTCATTATAAGTGCCACGTGAAAAGCTTAGGGTGTTCAAGAAATTCTGCAGAATTAGCGCTTTTGGGAGGTCTATATCTCGGTAACTGCTTGGGTGAGTGACTTGCGGTAATTTTTGTAGGGTGGATGCACCCCTTCTATCAAACATCGGATACTCCCGATGCATGTGGGTCACCCCCACTGCACGTGCAAAATGCAATAAAAAGAGGTGTCAAATTTGTCCCCATTACAATTACCTACTCTGAAATTACTGGGTCGATCTCGCTGAAACTTGGCGTGCAGGTAGGCACCGACAAGGGAATATATATTCCCATGTGTTACGGTTATAGTGCTACTGCACGTGACGTGCAGGGGGCGTTTCCAGATCCCGAGAACAGCTGGATCGATTGCGCTCAAATTGGGTAAGCAGTATGAACCGGTTGGTAGAGTCAAGAGTGCCACTGCCGTGCAAGTCAATTTGGACCCAGTTTGCACATGTGCATGACGTGCAAGGTGCCGCTTCCAGATCTGGGGAATGACTGGGTCGATTGCCTTCGAATTCGGCACACCGCCGGCGCCCTTTCGCATGTGCAGGGTCACTCTCTCGCTCGCTCGTTCTTTGCCCAAAGGCATTTTACTAGCATATTCAAATAGCATTTCTCATGTGATCATGTCACTTTTCCATGAACCAAAATAGTGTGTTGGTGTTCTGGTATGAAGTTAAATGGTATGAAGTCAAAGTGGTATGTAAGTTGGTAGGTTGTAGGTTGGTCGCTTGGTAGATAGTGTACATTCATGTGTTGTAGGACGTACAGGTCTTGCGAGATTAAGTGGTAGGTTTTGCACTTTTACATTTCTGTTTATATCTCAGAAACTAATCGATCTACGATGAAGCCATTTTACACGATCATGGCCGGCTTGTTACTAAACAAGTCGATCGCATCTTTAACACTTAAAAGCTTAAGGTGACGAAGATATAGCCTGAAGTACACTAAATTTTCTAGGTGCAAAACCTACCGCTAAAACCCGCGAGACCTGTACCTACTACCTAGGTTGGTAGGTAGTAGGTTGGTAGGTTGTAGGTATGAAGGTTGTAGGCTGTCAGGTAGACAGGTAGTAAGTTAATAGGTAAGGTTAGGTCAGGTCAGATTGTTTTTATATACTTGGACTTCGCCTTCACATTTGCCTGTGGGGTTCTCTTCTTCCGTGTTTTATTACATGAATTCCTGCACTTGTTAGGGTGTGAATTAAGGCATCAGCCAGGGAACTAAAGAGTCATCAGCATCAGCAATAAAGAGGCATCAGCATTGCTTGGTATAGGTCATGGAATCATAAGTGAGCGAGTTAGGCAGTCTTCCGTACATCAGATATTTCTGAGCATTGGTATGCTTTGAAATCTGATCTGATACACCAAAGCTCATTTTAGCCTTTTACCAAGCTTGTACTGAGATAAGCTAAAAAGGCAGAATTGAGTTAACAGTAACAACTAACAGTTGGAGTTCAGACATCGGCATAAGGCATACCTGGTGCTGATTTTTCAGATTCCTTCCCCGATATTATGCTCTAAGAGTTCCGATGGTGCATGCCAGTGGAAAATAAAACATGGAGCCCTCGTGCAAATGAATTTAATATAACAATAAATATTTTAAATTCTTTTCAAATTAAGGGATCGTCAAAATCTAAAAAATGTCGGACTCATCCGCTTTGTTTCTCAAGACGCGACAATAACAGATACCCTTGATACGTAAGTGGCGCGTACGGAAGATTTACTACTAAACCACTGCCAAAAAATATATTTACCTTTATTTCGCCTAAAACGCATGCGTTGTTGTTGTTGTTTTGGGTTAGGGCGCGTATCAGCTTGACTCTTGCGTCTAACTTCCTAAACGGCATGCAATTATGTAAGTAAGGCTACCACCAGAAACAAAAAGGCATGGATGAAATAATACAGGCAAAAGTATCAAAGTATGGCCTTGGGCAAAAGCCATAGGCAAATATTGATATTGAATATATTGGCAAATATTGAATATGCTACAGCTAAAAAAATGATCGTTTTTTCTTTGTTTCCTGGTTGGCTAAAACTTCACGTCTGTACGGTCGCCTCGGTACGGCAGTACCGAGGCAGTACCGGAGGTACCGAGAGCAGGCGAGTGGACTGGCGACCCAACCATACTTCACGGCAGTAAGCTTGGCAGTACGGTCGTCGGTCGCCTCGGTACCTACTTCGCGCAACAGGACAACACATGTTCATCGTTCATCCAGAGAGCCCAGCAATGCCCAGAGGCGTACATTTTATCTGTTTACTTTGAAGCAGCTTTGCAATGTGTCTACTGTCTGGTCTACCTACTCTTTTTGAAGGTTTAATTGTTACCTACGGCCAAGCCTACGGCTACATACTTGCCAGCTTATTTCAGCTTCTTCTAGTTTCTACTCTGCTCTGAGAAAGTAAGCGTTTCTGGGGCGTTCACGTAACTATGTAGTTACCTGCTATTCTTGATACCTAACTCATATCACGGATTCCCGCATTCGCTTTTGTTTGAACTTTCATCGAAATGCCTCGTTCATTCATCCGAGCCCCCCGTTACTTCTTCTTCTTCTTCTTCTTCTTCTTCTTCGTGGATTTATAGGGCGCGTAGCCGTCAGGCTCAAGCGTCCAACCCTCGTTACTTCACCAACTTCATTTATCCAAAGCATTCTTCGATCATTAATTTCCAATGATAATTAATTTCATCATGTTCTCTGTGGGAGCCTTGGTATATGGTGCCGAAACGATTAATGTCAAACTATGAGCACAATTGAATTCGCCTGTATTTGGTCACATAATATCAGATCCAACACATTTCAACACGACAAAATGGGCATTCAGGGTCTATGAACTATCTAAACACATGAACAGTCTCAACACCTTCCGCTAATCCCGCACGCATTGACGGTTCGCTCTCATTCTGATAATGGGAAAAGCCGCGAAGCAAAATTCGTCAGAAGACGTACACCCAGGCGAGATCTACTGTGCTCATCTGCTTCCTCACAGAGAGAAGGGTAAAGCGTTCCACCACGACATACACACACACATAAACACTTGTTCGCTCGTCGACAGGTTGCCTGCGGTGAGGCCAATCTCCGAACGATCACTGGCTAAAGCTCTGTGTCACCGAACTAGCTATCTCACACACCAAAAGCAAATCCTGGCATTCCGTCTTTGATGACAAAATTCAAATAATATAGTCCATCACGAATCGACTAAGACAGTCAGAGCAAAGTCCAGAGACTACACAGCATAGCACACCACTGAATTATACACACGCATGTCTCACAAATGCTACATTCTCTGAAATAAATTACTAGGTACACGAGCTACTCGCTAAAACGCGTGTGAAGAGCGCGACGTGCTCACACCAGTATGATACAGTGGCGGTCCCTGTGGTCGGTCGCGAGGCGCCGCTCGCCCCTGGAAGTTCGGCGCCCGGACACCGGGGACAGCCTCCGTTTTGTACAGGCCGCCGAGCGGCGGCGAATGGGAGGCGCGCCCGCGCGGTCTCGAGCGGCGCGCCACCTGGCGGCGCGCCGAGAAACCACCGCGGGGGCGCCACCGTCGCGATCTGTGTGCAGCCGCGCCCGGCCCGCCGCGCTGGTGATATGTGCTCCCGTGTCGGGGTCGGCCGGCGCTCGGCCGCCCCTCACAGCCTCGAGTGGCGCCGTGCGGCGGCCCCGGCTACCGGCGCGCCCGGCTCTTGCCCTGCTCGTCTCGCAGCAGCTCCTGGTACATGGGCGACTGCAGGAACCGGGGGAAGATGTCGCTCTCCATCAGGTGCTGCACGCGCCGCTGCGCCGCGTCGAACAGGTGAGCGTCGGGCGCGCTCAGACCGCTCTGGATCGCCGTCCGTGTGGCAGAGTCCACGTTTATCTGAGGGAGACAGAGGTAGGCTGTGTTAGATAGGTTGGCAGCACCAGATTTGGCTGAGGGGGAACGTAATAACCGTCATCAAACGGCTATCACTGCAGCTTATGAACATTATCTGAGAACGGGATGCGGAACCAGACAGTGAATAGCATCTCCGCATAATTTCTCCCCTCCGCTACGTGACTGAAATTCGACGATGACTGTCACTCTAACGCAGCGATATCGAGCTCGCTGGGGCGATATCGCTCGGGAGAGGAGGTGGGAGGAATTCGGGCGAAACTCGGCCCATCTGTCTGGCCTCTGATCCCGAGTCGGAAGAGACGCCCGGCGCGCGGGGCCGCGCCGGGCGTATCGCCTTATTTGGATGATTTATGCGCGCCGGTATACCATTGAGGCGGGGGCCGACTCGGGCGGTCGGAGCTGAATCGCTCTGATGATGACGTTATCCTTGACTACAGCGCCGCTTGCATCAGGTAGACGTACGTACAAGGTCCCATGAGACCACCGGCGGCTATTCATGACAGCTTATGACAATGGACGGCCACTAATGTTGCCGGCGTACAATCGGTTCACCCCGTTCTCAGTACCCTTTGGAACTATTGTGAGGGCGTCTGTTAGGAGGAACCGCAGCGGCAGAGGGCGGCATGCCAAAGCGCTCTCACCTCTCGGGGGGCTTGCGTGACGAGGAATTCATTGTAGATCTGCAGAGCTTTGGCAGCCATCTTCGAGTGTCTGGTCTTCTTGAAGTCCTCGACAGCCAACCAGAACTCGAGATTTTCATCGGCAAATTCCTGTGACAGGAACGCTCTGAATAGGGCAACCCCATCTGAAAGAGAGGCGTGCACGTTAGTTCACATACTCATAAATTCAGCTCTGTCAACATTGACAAACACATTCACGTTCGGCGGCCGCTATGGCTGGCAGGTATGACGTCAAATGCCCATTTCAGCAGGGCGTGAAGCGCTTGGCGCCGCCTGCTATTCGCTGCCGCCATTGACAGTCGAACTGCCGCCGGCGGCCGCGCCGTGCAGAGACGATGGGCGATAACCCGAGTTAGCTGGAAACCGAGCCCGCTACGGAGAACCGGCGCCGCTCCCCCGAACGGGGCAGTGTGTACAGTACGACAGAAGGCCGATACGTATGCATGACTGAGAGGCTCCCGGCCACCCGGCCCGATACCAGCACAGATTTCACCAGTCGGCGCTGTCGGCGCACCGGAAACCGTGCCCTTGCTCTGGACCGACCGGCATCACTCTCCACCGATCCGCCGAATACTAATGAGGCTTCCGGTATTATAATCCACATCTACCCTCTCAAGCATTCTATCTCCCTCAAAAATACCAGCCCCACCCATCGCTATTCATCACGCTGGAGTCGAGGTCGGTACTCACATTTAGAGTTGACCAGGTTGACGAAGGAGGCAGCCCACTGCTGGGCCTGCGCCCGGTCCGGCCGGACCGAAATGCTGTTATCACTGCGGCGCCTCCGGAGAAAACCCAGCCTCTGCCGGCAGTGTCGCACCGCACTGCGAACGGAGAGAAGCGTACGGTCAGATAGGGCGAACGGTGACAGAGACAGAGTGGCACGCGCCGTGAGATAGAGCGGACAGAGACAGAGTGGTGCGCACGGTCAGATAGAGCGCCGATACGGGCTGACACGGACAGGCGGAGGACGAGGCAGAGACCGGTGCCAGATCGGTGGAAGGCAGAGGAGAGTAGGTAGATCGGAGATACGGAGAGTATGGCGAAGAGGTGAGGGTTTTGCGCGGCACAGCACAACGTGACACACGACACAGCACGAAACTCACTGCACGGCACCACATGGGAGAGCACAAACTAAATAAATCGATATAGCTCGACACACGCCGCATTTGGCACAGCACGACAAAAAGCCCTCCGCCCCAGTAACAGCGCGCACCACAGCTGGTCTCCCGCTGCAGGCGGGGGAGGAGGGCGCACTCGCCGCGGCCGTCCTCCAACTGAGCTCCGGCCGCGCCCACCCACCTCCACCCGCGTCGGCCAGCGTCTGACGCACGCGGCGGCCTCCGAGCCAGCTCTGTGTCGCTATCGCGCGCTGCCGGCGGCGTCGGCTCGGCGTGACGGCCGCGCTCTGCCAGCCGAGCGGTGCCGACCGCTCCCCGCTCCCTGCCGAGCGCCGCCGGCACGCCCCGCCGCCACCGGAGCCGTGTGCCGCTCCGCCGCCCGAGCTAACGCGACACAGGTGGCAATCCTGTGAGAACGGCGCCGAATGGCCGACCCGAATCGCACGGCGCAGCGCCGTGGGTGCCGCTGCCGGCGCTGCCGACGGGCTTTCACTGCGCGCTGCAACGCCGCATTGACAGAAAATCGAGGGCGCGGCTGGCAATGGTTGCTGACGTGGGCGGAGCGGGCGGAGCTCGCCGGCCCCGTCGACGTGCAAGGCTGACGCTGCCCAGCGACGATATATGGAGGGTACGGCCCACTCGTGAGAAGTCGGCACATAAACCAGCCTAAACCGTGGCTGAGGTCGATCGCAGTCGTTGCCATTCAAGGGCGCGCGGCCCAGCCAGGTGCATAGCCAAATGCCAGTGATAAGCGTTAGTGGCGGTAATTGAAATCGTGCTGTGAACAGTGATCAGAGGCACTGGGCCGCCAGCATCGTGCATGATAAATGATGTGATCGTTTGAAAGACGTGCCAAGTTTCGATGATAGAGCACGTTACCCACCCAGTTGATAGTTCTCGTGCAGTGGGACGGTATAATCAAACTATATTAACGATCATCACGAGTTCTTATTAAGCGTTCCTCGGCAAAGCTAATGAGGAACGTTGCGTGCTTGAACTAACCTTTTATCATCTCGAGTTACGGAGTGCACTTCTCAAAGAGGTCGAGCCGTCTATTTCCGAATTTTCCGTATACCGGTGCCGGCAAAGGATATTGGGCGGCAGCCTAATGTGTACCGATGTGGTACAACGGGATCCAATAGCGCTAATGAAGAAGGCCTGCCCTCTGACCGTGTCCGGGAGGACAGTGGCAGCGCGGTGGAGAGGAGTCCATCTGATGGCCGTTTTCCGGAACTCCACATAATCACAGACTCCCTGTCACCGACGAAAGTGCTCGGACCAACCCGCGCTACCGCTGTGCCGCCGTGATAGCCGGCCGGCCGCCGTGCCACCGCGGCGCCGCCGCCGCTCGCTGCAGCCGTCCCGCCGCCGCACCGCCGTCACCCCGTCCAGACTCAGGATGAGTTGTGAGGCATTGTGCAGGGCGGGGCCGCGAGCAGACGCGGCCGGCGGTCGGTACGCGTGCCGCCGACGCTGCCGAGCCGCAGCAGCGCCGCGGCCGCCACCGAGACCGAGATATAAATTAAAGACACGTCGTTTTAAGGCACGTAGGCCGCCAAGCTGGCGCCTTCAGCCACCTCCCCGCTGCAGTGCAAGTTCGCACTCGTTTTGCACACGTCTTAAGCATTGCGTATAAAATGTGGGTCACGTACGACCCCGGCAGAGTCTCACTTCGACCGTCGCGCTGTGCGCACGGACTGATCTGCCCCGCTCGACGCCTCGCCCGGCTGAGCGGGGACAGAGTACAGAAGCACGCGCGCAGACCGACTCTCCTGCGCGCAGCCACGCCCGGCGGGGCAGTGTCAGTGCTTCAGATTGTACAGCGAAAGTGAATTGTGCTCCGTGTCTGCGTGTTTCATCTACCGGTTTTCTTCACAACTGCTTCCGCTTCTTGCTTCGCGTATACTTCAATAAATCCTCTACGGGAAATCTTCACGTCTATCTACTACTGAAAATCGCCGAATATCAAAAACCCAGGAGCTCACATAGCAGGCGGGCGGGCTACGAATGTCGCACAAACTCACCGAATAAAATACAGTCCACATCCAACCAGAAAAGAACTCCGAACGACAGTTTGTCGGCGACATTCGCTGGTCCTCCGGGCCGGATCCTGAGCTATGGCAAGTGGAGAAGCAAGCCCGTCTCTAGAGCGAATGGGTGAAAGTGACAAAGAAGAAACCGCTGACATGGAAGAAGTACCAGCTGAACCAGCCGCTGCAGGTCAAGGACAAGCTGCAGTGACAACAGTCCAAGAGGAACCACGAGAAGGCCAATGCTCCAACGGGGAGTGGCGGCACCTCAGACAGGTGAGAGGTCGTCATCGGGCGGCTCTCACAAGGATTTTCCGGCGCGCTGAAGCTCTCGTGACAGATAGAGCCTCACGCGTCCAGTTTGGAAATATCCGCAGAGAAATGGACAGCGCTTTCCAAGCGTTGATGGCCGTTCACGAATGTATCTCTGGATACACGCAGAGTGAGGAAGAAAAAGAAAATGAGGCTCAGTACTTAAGCGAAGTTCGGACGGAGAAAGAGAGAATCGAGGAGAAAATCGAGACTTTCATGACAAGCACCACAGACGAACTACAGCTGACCTCTACGAGACAGACTGACTTCAGCGAGGATGGAGGAGGGCAACCTGAAGACGGCATGGGACGCTCAGTGTCACGCATGACCCGTAGCGTCGCTCGCCGAGCAAGGTCACAGGTCAGTGGCAGCTCGGCGGCCTCTCATGCATCAGCTGAAGCCAGGATATCATCCAAACTGAAGGAATTGCGCGTGCGCCAGCTGGAGCGAGAAAGGACACTAAGGAAGCAAGAGGAAGAACTGCAATTCGAGAGAGACCTTCAGAAAGCCAGAGATGAAGCTGAAGCCGCCCGACTGGAGGCGGACCTGAGGGAAGAAATGGAAGACGAGCTCAATGCAGACAGGCGAGACGATTTTGTGGATGAAAATCTGGGAGAACCAATCACCGAGAAAAGCGTTTCTCAAAGGCCGAACTGCTCCAGATCACAACTTCGTTTCTCCGAGCCAGTCTCCATTACGCCCAGAGAACCTCTAGAACCTCTAACCGAAATCAGAGAAGAACCTCCGCAACTAGAACCTCCACGAATGGCACCCAGTCCCGGTATGTCCACAAGCCAGACATCATGGATAGATCAGCTGCGACCGACAGCTGCACCACGTCCGGCTCCTACGACATCCGCGTTCACTAAGAGCATTCCCCGTCTCCAGCTGCCGACCTTCTCAGGCAAGCCGTCTGAGTGGCCGCGCTGGATCGGACTGTTCCGAGCGCTCGTGCACGACCAGCCATCGCTCAGCGACGCCGAAAGAATGGCTCATCTGCAGGCGTCAGTGATGGGACAAGCGCAAGAAGCCATCGCTGGCATGTTATTTGACGGCAACCTCTACCAACAAGCCCTCAAAACTCTACAAGATCGTTTCGGCCGAAGCACGGATGTGATTAAGGTACATCTCGAGAAAGTGTTCTCGGCTGAACCTCCTCAGAACAGTGTTCGATCGTTGGAGTACTTCCATTCCGCCCTGCACTGCGCGGTCACGCTCATGCAGGCCCAAGGATATGAGGCGGACCTGTACAGCACAGAGAATCTCCGAAGAACGGTGGTCAAACTTCCAGAATATCTACGGCGTGAATGGGGTAAACATGTGCTCGAACTCCATCCAAGACATCCATCACTCATCGACCTGGACGTTTGGCTGCTGAAGCAGGTCCAAATTGCATCGCTCTGCCAAACCGCTGAAACGCCGAGTGACAGGCGGGGGAGAACCAGAGACCAGACGACCAAGCGAGCAGCGCATGCTACCGCAACTTCGTCACCAGCCTCTCCATCAACGGCACAGAAACCAGGTGGGAATGCGTCATGTCCGAAGTGCGGTGGCGAACACAGACTGCACCAGTGCCGTGAGTTCAAGAATCTGGACGTCGAAAAAAGAGTCGAACTGATATTCGACAAGAGACTCTGCCTCTGGTGTCTGCAAAGGGGACATCTCGCCAGAGAATGTCACAACACCAGGCCCTGTGGTGTAAATGGGTGCCAGAGACGCCATAATCAGCTGATACATGGCAGCACCAAACGAACCGCTCCTCCCACCGACCGCACGGGAGCCGCAGCCAGTCGGCCTGCCAATGAAAGAAGTCCAACGGCAGAAGGAGAAGAGGTACATGTAGTGGCTGCATCTACCTCCATCGGAAAGACAGGCGGAACTCTTCTACAAATCGTTCCAGTTCGAATTCATGGAAAGAAGGCAGGAACTCACCGTGACACCTAGGCTCTTCTCGATTCAGGGTCTGAATCTTCCTTCTGCAGTGAAGCTGTGCTGAACCAACTGGGAATCACAGGACAAGACGAACAGCTGTGTCTTCAGACAGTGGAAGGAACTGGAAAACCTCAAGCATCAACTAGAGTGAAGCTAGAGCTGAGCTCTGTGGCCCCTGGGGAAACTCGAAGAATCATCGTGCCTGAGGCGTGGTCTGTTCCATCTCTCGACATCTCCATGCCGAACGTTTGCAAGAAGCAGCGAGAGAAGTGGCGTCACATCAAGGACTTGGACATTCCTCAGTGCTCCCATGGACAGGTGGAACTGTTGCTCGGAGCTAACGTCAGCGAAGCAGTCATCCAGCAAGAGGTCCGGGTGGGTCAACCAGGCCAACCGATAGCTGTACGTACTGCTTTTGGTTGGATCCTG